CAGCAGGAAACAACAGATACCAATCATGAAGACGAGCAATTCACTCAAATTACAATTTGGCATTTATTTTGGGTAGGAAGGTATATAGTCAAAACAAATAACTAGTTTTAGCAGTGATGCTAATTACATAGGTGAAATCCATAAAGCATGTCTATCACTAAAGCTAGAAGAGCAATTCACAGGCATCTTTGCTTTGCTTCAATCACTAATGATGAATGTTTCTGCCCATTAGTGGACTAGTAGTACAGTCCACTATCAATGCAAACTAGTGAAAGAGTACTTCAATGAAAAATGGATCAATTATAGGTAAAGAGTCATATATGCATGGACTGAAAACTATAATTAAAAGTCAGGAGTTTACTACTAATAACTAGTAAGTCTCAGCGATCCATAAATTTCATAGTGAGTAATGGGAGATTGACTGACCTCATTGTAAATTTCTAAATATGAAACACGAAGAAGAAATTCTCGCCCAGGTGTCTGAAAATGACAGTGTAAATAGGCTGATCGCCAAAATATTCATTTCAATCACAACCAACAACAGGCAGAGTAATCAACTACCTCTTGTATAATTCCAAACACATCCTTCACTGCCAACGGAATAATTCCAGGTGACTTTTGCTCTCCCTGCAAAAAGAGAAGGTACAAGATTGCACCACAATAATTAACAAGCATTCAGAACAGGACAGCTGATTGATCAAAACCAGGTGCAGGGAAAATGAAAAACCAGTCAATTCTATCCACAGTTTGTTAGATGGCTTATTTTCTCTCAATGGTTTTGCTAAATAAGATTTCATGTCAAGCATCCTAGTGGAAGAAACAAGTTGATGCATCATAATTTGCTAGTCTGAAACCTTCTCTCTTTGTAAAAACACAGAAAGAATTGAGAACAAAGAATAATGCAGAACATAAGTTCACCGTCTTTATGAGTATCAATCAAAATGCTAAACAGCTAGTTCCATGTCAGCCTCCCTTGTATAAGGAATGATAGGATGCATTTAATTCGCTAGTTCAAAACTCTCTGAGTGTAGTGAAAACCACCAAAAAACAAGTAGAAAGCAATGCAGAAATCAGTTTCCATGATCCTAATTAGCATCAAATGCGACCATGGCAGCTATCTAACGCATCAGCAGGGCCCACAGGCATGCCTAGCAGGCCATTATGAAGTTCCCATTAAAATGCTAGGGAGGACATGACTGTTACAAATTCTGTGCACGTGATCTCCAGGTAATAGCTTACATGCATTGTATGAGTCTTGCCACTGCTAGTAACACCATATGCAAAAACAGTCCCTGCATAAAAACAGAGCATCTCATACATTTAGCAAAAAGTCCTCCCAAATTTGAAACAAATACTGCTATCACATTACAAACAAGAAATTCAGTCACTGTTAATAGTTATCAGACACAACCACCCCATCAAAGTACGATTATCACACAATCCATACTCTTGCAAATTACAAAACAAATAAAATAGCCAGCGTTTGTTGTATTGCCAGTGAGCACCAGTGGAGTTTTAGTGGATTGAAAACCAATTCAGTTGGGCTCCATTCAAAAATATTTTTTAGTAAATGAAAAGATTTAGGTTCAGAAGAAGAGAGTTACCATTAATCCCTTTCATTGCACCACCAACCACATGCTCGGCTGCAATATCATAAACATGGCGCGTTGTGGTTGCCGGACCAAACACTTTATCTGGAATCGGATAGTAAATAATTACATACAAATTTCCATTTTTTAAAGGCAAACAAACAAGTAACATTTTTAGAACTTCGTTAGATTTGTAATTTAAGGGAATTCGTTTATTTATATACCAGAAAGTGAAAATTAGAATTTAGAGCTAACCAAAACCATAAGCAATTGAAGGATTGTACTCGTTTCTCACTGTAGAATCTCCATCAGCATACCATGCTATCTCGTCTCCTTTACTAATTTCCCTAGCACTAGTAGAGACACCATCACAGTGTCACTATCAGATACACAACTGACCAATCACTGCAAGTCAACAGAACAAGAAAAAAACAAGTCAAGTAAACGGTGTTGTTGCAGTACCTGAGAGGGCGGAACCTGACTGTGACAGTCACGTTTTCCTTGCTCCGGCTGGTTTCAGGCTGGTCATGAGGCGTTGGGCTTGGGCCCGAACTAACTGGAGGGCTTGACAGTCTCGAGGGGGGCCTCGACGAGGTCGTCGAGGAAGGAGTTAACGGCCGTCCGGTGGGCTTCGGAGCCGGGGGCGGAGGTTGAGCCGGTGACTTCCGCGAACGGAACGGCGAGATGGCGGATGACCGTTGGGACCTGCTAAATGACATGGAGGAAAGAGAAAGAGAGAGGGAAATGGCAGTAGGGTATTTTGGAATTTCTGGAGAGAGAATAGAAAAATAAACAAAAGGAGGTCAAGTAGAGGTCACATGCCGGCCAAGAGTGTTTGTGTTTTTTGTATGTGCCGCCTTTTGGACTTTTTTGGCGCCCATTGTCAACAAGACGAGGGGGCTACTGTGCTGCCCAGCTTTTTTTAAGTTTTCGTACGAATTGTTTGTTTTTGAGGAAAGAGTCTGGGGTGTTGAGTCCAGAAAAGGCAGGTTTGGTGTGAGTGCGTGTTTTGATCAAGCAGGAAT